CACTCTGCCTGCGGACAAACCAACATGTGCTTTTCTCTTTTTTCTTTTCTTTCCCTTTTTTTTCCCCGTTTTTCTTTTGAACTGAGACAGGGTCTCAAGTAGCTGGCCTTGAACTCCTGACCTTCTTGCCTCAGCCTCCCCGGTGCTGGGTTTACAGGCATGAGCTCCCCTCCCCAATGGCTGCGCTGCTGAATGAAATTGCTCAGATGGGACCGACCATGGCTCCACCTCATTTTTAAGCCTTTCTCTTGTGCTATCAGCAGCTAAATTTAACTTTTGGGTATTGCAGAGGGAAAGTCTTGGTCAGTTGCAAGACACACACTCAACAAGAATCTCTTGCAACAAGAATCTGATTGCAAGAGGCTGGCTGTGGGGTGGAAAACTGTGTTCTGACAAACTTGGCTGCCCTACCCTCCAATGTGACCTTGACTGAACCCTTCTCTGCACTTTCTGATCTATAAAACCACCGCATAATTTGCTTTCACTGAAAGAAAACTCAGGAATAATGCTCTAGCTCAGCTGGTCATGTTTGCCCACACACGGCAAGCCCAGGCTCACACATGCACGTGCCTGTGATCCCAGCACCGGAGAGTGGGGAGGGGAACAGGGTGATCAGGTGGTCAAGGTTACCCTTGAACAGCCCAAATTCACCCCCAGAACTCACAAGGTAGAAGAACTAACTCCAGAAAACTGTTCTCTGACCTCCACACGCTCCATGGCACATGTGTACACATGTGCAATACAACCACACACATACTGCACACATACCACACACATGCAACAAAACCACACACATGCCACACATGCCACACACAACATACCCATATGTAAACACTACACATACAACCACAACTACACACCTGACCACACACTTATAGTACACACACTAACACATAACACAGCGCACAGTCCTCCCTTTGAAACTCCCAGGGCCCATGTACATTGGGATTCGGAATGTGTTTTTTAGAAAGGCTAAATTGTGTTCTCCGTGTTATCACACTGATAATTCAGCACAGGGAGGGAAGCCTGCAGATAAGACAGCTCAGCACTGTGGAGAGAGAGAGTCCGCTTTCATAGCTTTACCCTCAGCAGCGCAGTGTCCTAACCCTGAACCCCATCCTGTCCCACCTAATCCACCCACAGCATGCAGTCAGCGCCACAGTCTGTCCCTGTTAGGACAGGGGACAGTGGCAGTTTTGAACCCAGGTGTCTTACACCAGGTCCACTGTGCACCAAATCTACGGGTACATAGTTGGCAGGAAGGGTTACACTGCATCCGGGGTTTGTGACCTGCACCTCAGAGACTGTGAGCAACTGTTTTGACACACCACACGATGTGCTTATTGGCTCTGTTTCTATGAGTTATGGGAGAATTTGAACCCTTGACGACCAACCAAGTCCAGAAAAGGACCAAAGAGTATCAGTATCCATCAACATATTCTTCCATCAGTCTATTCCTCTAGTCAATCTCTCATCCACCCTTCATCTACCCATTCTTCTCTGTAGTCAGCACCCATCCATCTATTCAGCTATCCATCTACATATATCCATCCATCCATCCATCTATCCTTCTAAGCACCCATTCAGCCTTCCATCCACCCATCTACTCATCCATCCGTCTACCTATCTATCCATTGATCCACCTGAAGAGTCCAAGAAAAAGAATATAAAAATGTAGATTCCAAAGAGAGCGATGTAGAAATAAAGAAATATAAAGTTGTAAGTCTAGGAGAATGAGAGCAGACTGTCAGCAGCTTTCTCAGCAGCTTGAGGATGAACTATTAACAGTGGGCTATTTCACTTTACAACCCACAGCTCTATTTACAAGACCGGAGCTTCTCTCTGCAAACTGAGAGTAGTGTTCTGGCCATCCTTGATAAATGACAGATGTGAACTGAGTTAACCTTTAGGAGACAGAGATGCTGACCTCTGGGATAGGCACTGTCTCTGTTATGGGAAACTGGCACCATTAAAGGGGAGGCAGGGGCTTCAGTACACACCGCCCCGAGGTACCAGGAGAGACGGTGGACAAGGCAGAAACACGGGTTTGACTAATGAGCTCTGAGAAAGGAGGTTGTAAAGTGACAGGCAGCCTTTATCTGAGTTTTACCTTGAGATAGGGTGAAGAACTTTCTTCTAGCCAGGTGGTGGTGGCACATGCCTTTAATCCAATCCCAGCACTTGGGAGGCAAAGGCAGGCATATCTCTGTGAGTTCGAGGCCAGCCTGGTCTACAAGAGCTAGTTCCAGGACAGGCTCCAAACCTACAGAGAAACCCTGTCTCGGGGGAAAAAAAAAAAAAAAAAAAAAAACAACCAACAACAAAAAAAGAACTTTCTTCTATCTTCTAAGTTTCCAGCCTAAGAACCAATTATTCTAATTTATTAACCCTCTGATATTACTAGCAGTCCCTTTTTCTAACTAATTGCTAAAGACAACTGTTGTCTTGCAATTAGTGACTTTCACTGTAATCTCCTCTGAAACATATTTCATGATTGCTGCCTAGTTACCCATTGACGTTAGAACCTACTCCCCTCTCTTAGGGTCTCCGTTGACTGGCCCACTAGTCGGGACAAGATCATAAAAATTCCTTTGTTCAGACCTAATGCTTGGTGCCCCTACTTAGAAACCGGCCTTTGGCCACAGCCTAATAAACACCATCTCTAGCTGTGGTCTCAGCTAGCTGATAAGCTTCTGTGCCCCGTGGTATTGTTTGGGTTTTTGTTTGTTTGTTTGTTTTAAGTTTGCTTCTGGTTTTCCTGGAATCTGGTTTCTGGAATAAAGTTTGCTTCTGGTTTATTAGACTTTGGTGGACTGTCCCCATCTTTGCGCGAACCCCTGGACTCAACACACCAACCATCCATCATCAGTTTCCACATTTGTATCTTTGCATGCGCCAGAATGTAGATTTTGTCTGTAAAGAGCACACATCACTTATTTTGTCCATGCGTTTGGCAAATATTCAGAGGCTACCGTAGCCAGTGCTGGGCGGGGCGGTGAGCAAAGGCAGACCCCGCACTCAGGGACTTGCTCCCCAGCACAGGAGAGAGGCCACACACACAAGCAGATAAAGACATAGCGGGCACAGATAAAAACAGAGTGGGCTCTGAAGAAGCTAGGAGCTAGACTACAGAAACTAAAGGCGGGTCAGGGACAGGGAGCGCTGGGTAGCAGGTCCTTACAAAGATGAAAAGGAGGAGGCCAGTCCATCCTTAGTGTCACCAAAAATTCTAGGATAGTGACAGCCACTGAAAGTGCAAGTCCCAAATCGTGTGGTCACCACAGGCCTTTAATCCCAGGACTCAGAAGCAGGGGCAGGTGGATCTCTGTGAGTTCAAGGCCAGTCTGGTCTATAGAACAATTTCCAGGACAGTCAGAGCTACACAAAGAAACCCTGTTTTAAAAAACAAAAGACAGAAGAGTGCGAATCCCTGCTGTGGGATGTGGGGAGGGGGGCTGGTGGGAACAAAGGAGCCTTCAGTGTAGAAGGAGAAAGAGCCAAGGAGGAGGGCTCTAGGAAGGTGAGGACGAAGTAGGAAGGAAGGAGCTTCCGCCTGCCACTGCGGCCTGGCCAGAAGAAGCCCGTCTAGAAATTGGCACCTGCAGCAGAGCTGGAGCCAGAGGGCTTGATCAGAAGCCACAAGAGGCCACAGACATGTCATTTCCGCCATGGTTCTTACAGAAGGGCAGACACCCAGGCTTCTCCCAGGTCTTCACTAGCTGTGTTTGCAATGGGAAGAAGCCAAGACAATCGGCTAAACCTCTAGTCTGGGTATCCTTCCACAGAAACTGGGTATCCCAAGATTTTAGGAGACCCAGCGAGCAGCTGCTGAGATGTGAGGATATTCCCCTGAAAAGTTATCAGGTTGAAGACTTAAGCTCCAAATTCATATGCTGTATTCATATCTGGAGACAGGGCCTCGGGGAATTAAGATGAGGTCATGAGGATATGACCCCCACCCCATGATGGCGTTAATGGCTTTATAAGAAGAGGAAGTGGGACCTGAGCTGGCATTTTAGCCTGTCTCCTCGTGTGATACCTCTGCCATATTAGGATGCTAGGCAAGGCCCCCACCAGGTGGCAGGCCCTGCTGCTCCTGGACTTCTCGGAACCAATGAGCTCTATCTGTCTCTCTCTCTCTCTCTCTCTCTCTCTCTCTCTCTCTCTCTCTCTCTCTCTCCCCTCTCTACCCCCCACCCCCCGTTGTCTAAGACAGGCTTTCTCTGTGTAGCCTCGGCTGTCCTGGAACTCACTGTAGAACAGGCTGGCCTCAAACCCATAGAAAAATCCACCTGCCTCTGCCTCTAAGTGCTGGGATTAAAGGCATGTGCCACCACTACCCAGCTTCCACCTGGGGTTCTTTAACTGGTAACTAGTTACCCACACGCTCCTCTTTCCCAGCTGGGCTGAGAGCTCTAGAAAGCCACTTTGCTGGCATGGGGCCCTGGGCCCACAGCAGGTGCACACAGTGGGTGCACACAGCAGAAGCATACAGCAGATACACACAGCAGGTGCACGCAGCAGGTGCACACAGCGGGTGCACACAGCAGGTGCACACAGCGGGTGCACACAGCAGGTGCACACAGCGGGTGCACACAACGGGTGCACACAGCAGAAGCATGCAGCAGATATACACAGCAGGTGCACGCAGCAGGTGCACACAGCGGGTGTACACAGCAGAAGCATGCAGCAGGTGCACACAGTGGGTGCACACAGCAGGAGCACAGAGAAGGTGCACACAGCAGATGCACACAGCAGGAGCATGCAGCAGATGCACACAGTGGGTGCACACAGCAGGAGCACAGAGGTGCACAATTAGTGATTCTGAAAGGAAGGAACAGGAAGCAAAGAAGTCAGGCCTTGCCTTCTGCTCTTCACATAGCTACCCTCAGGTATTGGCTTAGGTGCTGGGGAAGGATGCAAATCCCACTGCAAATCAAGGATACGAAAGTCACTCTAAGTTCTCTCCTAACTCCCAGTATGAAGAGAAGGTACGTTACCTCATAGTGGGTGTGTGGGACTCAGGGTCACTTGAGTTTGGTGCAGCCTCCAGAGACAGGGTGCCCAGGCTGGGCCTGCTGCCCTTCCGGGGAGAATCCCTGAAGGAGCCAGCACTGGGGTCCTCATCAGAGGAGTTGTCATCGAAGGAGCCCAGGATAAAGTTGGTCATCAGCTGTCTCTTGATGTGTGCCTGTTTCTTGTCCTCTCTGGAGGGGGGTTTGGCTTGCTGGCCTGGAGGCCTGGCAGGAGAGGATAAACCATTGGTACCTGGGACTTCTGAGCCTTGGGCTGCTGTCCCATTGGTTTGGAGTTCTGGGGAGGGCCAGGTGTCATTGGAAGACAGTGGATTCCTTGGAGGCTTCTGGTGTGAGGGGGGCAGGGAGTTCTGACAACTGGCATCTCTGGGGCCTCTGTGGGAGGCTGGCTTCTCCTGGTCCGGAGTGTCCAGATTGCTGCAGTCGCCATGTTTTTGCAGGGGCTCCGCTGACCTGTCTGATTCCTCGCTTGAAAGAAGACTCGCTTCCTCCTTACTGCTGCTGAGTGGCTTGAAGTCTGTCATTGTCCCCCAGAGTTTTAACCAGGAAAACGTCAGGCAGGAAAAAACCAGGCAGGTTAAAAAGAGAAGCAAGACCATTCAGACACCTGTCAAGAGAAGAGAGAGCTTACAGTTACAACCAAGAGATTTCTCTCCTAATGCAGCAAGTGGGGCAAGGGTATTGGAGGTCCTATACTGGAGGGACAGTGAGCAGAGAAATAGGGTTCTCCTCTGACCTCAGGTCCTACCATGCTCCTGTGACCCAAGGCATGCTGCTAACCTCCTGGATGTGGGTATATTTTGTGACTTGAATATGTCCCCCCAAAGTTCATGTGTGATCCCCAATTAAACAGTGCAGGAGGCAGTGAGGAAGAACACGGCAGGCGGAGAGGATGTCAAGGGTGGGTCTCTTGCTCTCTTGCGCATCTGCTTCTACCAGGGGTGAGGTACAAGAAGATTCTCATGAAACATAGGCTTTTCAACATTGGGCTTCCAGCCTCAAACCAGGAACTAAAGAGGTATTCTTGAGGCTGGATAGATGGCTCAGCAGCTAAAAGCACTGGCTGCTCCTGCAGAGGATCTGGGTTCAATTCCCAGCACCCACCTAGCAGTTCACAACTATCTATAATTCCAGTTTCAGGGGAGCCTAGGCCTTCCTCTGACCACAGAAGGCACCAGACACACATGTGGCTGTGTGTGTGTATGTGTGTGTGTGTGTGTCGTGTGTGTGTGTGTGTGTGTGTGTGTGTGTCTGTGGCAGGCACAAGAACTATAGGCAACTAAGGAATGCTGGGAGCAGGAGAAATAGTCTTCCTCAGGGAAGAGCACACCAACTGGTTATCCAATACCAAATGGTCAGCCCGGAAAACATGCAAGTAACATTATCTGGTCTGAGTAGGTTGTACATTTAGGGATAGATATGCATATGCATATATGCATGTAACAATAATAATAATAAAAAGACCAAGAATTGGAAAACAGCAAAAAGGAGTCTATGGAAGGGTTTGGAGGGAGGATAATACTATAATTATATTAGTCTCAAAAAATACTGACAAAAGAAGAAACAAATCTTTCTTTAAAAAGATAAATAAATCTTTTAAAAGGATTCATCTGTTCTTTATAAATACAGTCTCAGATACTTTAAGATCACAACCAACATTTGCTCAACATAAGCCACCCATGAGAAAGAACTAAAGAACGTAATACACCACAAAGGACTTTGTTCTAGAAGCATTATTTATTACATCAAAAACATGGAAAAATTTCAAATATTCTTTAAGGCCCAGCATGGTGGCACACACCTTCAATCCCAGTACTCAGGAGGCAGAGGCAGGTGGATCCCTGTTGCATCCCAGACCAGCCTGGAATACATACTGAGACCATTTCAAAATAAAAAAGATAAAAGATAAAAAGACATAGATAAAAGTCAGATGTCTTTTAACTGAGGAATAAACAGAATGAGGCCCCTCTACACAATGGAGTATTACTCGGCCGTAAAAAGGAATGAAGCCGTCTGTGATTCACACTGCAACATGGCTGAATCTGAAAACCTTGCGCCAATCATGAGAAAACACAGATTATAATTCTGTATCTTCAAAATGTCCAGACCAGGCTAACCCCAGACAGGAAGATTCGTGGTTACCGAGGGAAGTGGGATGGGAACGATGTTCGGGGGATGGAATCTAAGGTGTACTGTGACCACAGGCACTCTGAACACACTGACAGCGCTGGCATGTTCTAGTTTTCTAGGATGTATTTATTTTATGTATAGGAGTGTTTTGCAAGCATGTATGTACGTATATCATGTATGTACCTTGTGCCCTTAGAGCTTAAAAAAGAGCATCAGGAGCCGGGCCGTGGTGACACACGCCTTTAATCCCAGCACTCGGGAGGCAGAGGCAGGTGGATCTCTGGGAATTTGAGGCCAGCCTGGTCTACAAGAGCCAGTACCAGGACAGGCTCCAAAGCTACAGAGAAACCCTGTCTCAAAAAACAAAGCAAAAGAAAACAAAACAAAAAGAACATCAGGCATCAGGTCAGGTCTCCTGGAGTTAGGGATGGCTGTGAGCCACCATGTGGGTGCGGGGAACTGAATTTGGGTTCTTTGCAAGAGCAGCCAGTGCTCTTAGCCACTGAGTAGTCTCTCCAGCCTTGCGAATTTGTTCTTTACATAAGTGGTTTATTGTTGTAGGAAGTCCTTCTTTTTATGTACCGCTTTTATTGGTTAATGAATAAAGAAACTGCTTTCGGCCAGTGGCTTAACAGAAGATAGCCAGGCTGGAAAATATATATATAGAGAGAGAGTAGGCAGAGTCAGTGAGAAGCCATGTAGCCCCACCAGAGAGAGATGCTGGACAGTACCTTGCAGGTAAGCCACAGCCACGTGGTGATACACAGATTAATAGAAATGGGTTAAATTAAGATGTAAGAGCTAGCCAATAAGAAGCTAGAGCTAATGGGCCAAGCAGTGGTTTAATTAACAGTTTCTGTGTGGTTATTTTGGAGCTGAGCAACCAGGAACAAACAAGCAGCCTCCTACAATAGATTATATGTCATATAAATGACTTGTATGCTACATAAATGACTTGTATGTTATGCAAGTGACTTGTATGCTATGTAAACTACTTGTGCATTATGCAAATTACTTCTGTGCTCTGTAAATATCTTGTATGTATGTGGATGACTTGTGTGTTATGTAAATGATTTATATGTTATGTAGATGACTTGTGTGCTATGTAAATACCTTGTGTGCTATGTAAACTACCAGTGCATTATGTAAATTACTTCTGTGCTCTGTAAATACCTGTGTACTATGTGGATGACTTCTGTGCTCTGTAAATACCTTGTGTGCTATGTGGATGACTTGTGTGCTCTGTAAATGACTTTAGCCACATTGCTAGCCTTCTGCACCAACAAACACCTCTGCAGACTTAACTAACGATGCTGAAAACACTGGGAAGAAACTGGATCTGTATTGCACACTGACTTTTCTGCCACTGTTCTCTAAACAATGCCGTCTAATGGCTCTCTAGCATTTACACCGTGTGGGGTTATAAGTAACCCAGAGATTGGAGTATGGAGGGGCTGCGTGTAGGCATCAGGTAAACACACCATTGTATGAGGGATTTTGGTATCTGTGGAGGTAGGGGTCAAGGATGGCTGCAAACCACCCAAGATCAGTGTTGCTGCTGTGGCTAGCTTCCTCTACTTCCTCACAGTGTCACGGCTGTCCTCATGCCCTGGAGGAAGGACTGCATCCTGACCCAGGGCAAGCGCACCTGACCCACACTCACAACTAGAATGGACTCTCAACAAAACCACAGAAGGCCGGCCCTGGGGTCTGGAGTACAGTCGTCTGTGCTGCAGACTGAGCAAGCATGGGTGGGGTGACTGAATTAGGATTCCGATTCTAACCCCAGTTCTTCCTCTCACAGCTCTGCCCTCTGATGAGCAGATAATTACTGTCTGAAGGAAATATCTTTTAAAAAGAAGTGGGATTTGGGCCCAGAGAGATTGTCGACTAAATGTGGTAGCTATGTAAGCCGGAAGATCTGCATTCAATCCCCGGAGGCCACAAGAAAAACTGGCTATGGTGGCACATCTGTAATCCCAGTAATCCCAGTGCCCATGTGGCGAGATGGGAGGGGAGACAGGTAAGTCATTCAGAAACATGTGGGTCCGGCAGCACAATGGAAAAAAATCAGAGAGACACTGCTTCAAAAAACAACAGGTGGCTGGGCAGTGGTGGCGGGAACACTCAGGAGGCAGAGGCAGGCGGATCTCTGTGAGAGAAACCCTGTCTCCAACAACAACAACAACAAAATCCAACTCCCAGGAAAGTTATCTTCTGACCTCTACAGGCAGGCCAGCCTGCTCACACAGAGAAATCTCCTAAAATCATGGTTTGGACATCTCTGAAGCCAGTCTGCTGGCCTGGCTAAGGCTGTAGCTGAGGGCCGAGTGGGTGCTTGCCCAACAGGCATGCAGCCTTGGGGTACCCGAACTCCCCCAGAGAAGAACTAGACTGACCAATGCGGTCACGGTTATGTCAGAAACACTGCAAAATCAGGACGCACAGCTCAGGCCTGTGGCGTCTAAACGGCGTCTTCTTTTGTAATTTCCACACAACATTCTTTAGGGAAATGGAAAGTGTTCTTGGGTTTTCCTGGAAATGTGGGAGCCATGTGTGGACCTCATGACCGCTTGGCAGTTGGATCTCTGTGCCGTTGGCAAGGAGCTCTGGGTAAGGAACAAACTCAGGTTTTATTTTCTTTGAAGGTCGTCAAGTTTCTTTTTTAAAGAAAAGCGAGTCAAGAGTGAGTCGGTGTCAACGTCATGGTCATCTCAGCTGACACACACAGAAACTGATAAATCCCACACCTTTCCCTGACTGAAAAAAAAAAACCATTTAGGGAACCAGAAATAGGAGGGGGTCTTAAAATAACAATGACACGCCCCCAAAGACCAGAGATGAGACTGGGAAAGACACCTGTCCGGTTCTAGCCGAGCAGGCACCTACACAAGGAGAGCAGAAACACAGGCTATCTGCAGAGGGTTTGGCCCTGCACAGACAGAAGTCCCAAAGGTCCGGGGGTTGGGAGGGGGATGAAGACAGAGAGAAATCGAGCACTACTAGGAGGGGTAAGTTTAATTTGTAGGACCAAACGTCAGCATCCCAGGATTAACCGTGTTCCTAACACCAGCAAACGGCAAGCTGACATCAGTTTACAGTGACATCAAAAGAACAAAATACATGGGAACAAATGGATCCAAAGAGCTGGAAGGCATGTATACTGACACGGGCTCAATAAGGCTTGCATACACAGACCGACACGACATGCTGAAGGACTAGAACACTCACTGTTGCTGAGGTAGCCTCCCCGCACAGTGATACAGGCGGATGTAAAATCACAAGGGAGCCCATAGGCAAAATAATGCTTCGAAGAACAATGGGCTGAGGATGGGGCTCATGGGTGGTGTGTCTGGCTAGCATGCACGAGACCCTGGGTTCGCTCCCTAGGACTGTGTACAATTGCATAAGGCAGCACAGGTCTGGAATGGTAGCAAGTGGAAGGTGGAGGAGAGAGGATCAGAAGTTCAGGACAGT